AACAAATACAATAATTTTTCTTAAAATGTGAGATGGAAAGACCTTCAAGAAGACCTAGAGTCATTTGGTGGTTCAGTTTGCGCAGACATTTTGATAGTAACACGTCTCCTCTCCTGACCAGTGGTGCAATGGCCAATCTCCACACTCTGGTCAATATCCATCAGTAACATAAAAATGTGACTGTTCTTGGATCCTATATTTATTCACCAATATTAGGTCTGAGAGTGCCAGAACTGGCACTTAGTTAACGTATTGATGGAACACCAAGGAGAGAATAAAAATATACTGATGAGCACTCGGCACAAAAAGGATACAAGAATTTACTGAATAGTGAACAAATCAAGGAATGCTTAAAATAGCATTTATTATATTCATGTACTGAGGTTCAGTTTTTGTAACCTGTCAAAAAACAAAAAAATGACAACCAAACAAGAAAAAATGTCTCTAATACAGACATTGGGCAGCATTATTTTAATACATACATATATGGGTACATTCTTTTTTGCTCATTAAGAACCACAGGGCCGGGGGCAGTGGCTCATGCCTGTAATCCCAGCACTTTGGGAGGCCGAGGCGGGCAGATCACGAGGTCAGGAGATTGAGACCATCCTGGCTCACACAGTGAAACCCCGTCTCTACTAAAAACACAAAAAAATTAGTCGGGCATGGTGGTGGCCGCCTGTAGTCCCAGCTACTTGGGAGGCTGAGGCAGGAGAGTGGCGTGAACCCAGGAGGCAGAGCTTGCAGTGAGCCAAGATTGTGCCGCTGCACTCCAGCCTGGGTGATAGAGTGAGACTCTGTCTCAAAAATAAATAAATAAACCACAAAATATATATTTTCTCTCTCTTCTTCCTGTGTGTGTATATGTGTATCTCTGTGTGTGTGTGTGTGTGTGTGTGTGTGTGTGTAAGAGAGAGAGACAGAGAGAGAGAGATTCAGACTGAGATTTAAAGCCTGGGGCTAGGTAATTTTTTTCTAAACAAGTATCAAGTAAAGAACTCAAAATGAAATACTGTATCTGCATAAAATGTGAGCCAAAGACCTACTGCCTAAAAAATGCTGCCTCACTTGGAACCTAAAGCTAATATCATTCATTTATTTAGTTAGCTTTATAGTATGTTGATTTTGGATTTGAAATGATTAGAAAAAATGCAGATGGAAAGTGTTTTTAGAGTAGGGAAATAATTAAATTGGGTGTGGAGACTTTGTCAAGAGAAATCTTGAAGTGACATATGTGTATCAGCAAATTCTTTTTCTTGCTTGGCCTTAATTCTTTTGGGAAGAAATGCTTGGGCTACAGATGTAATGGTATATTGGGGAAAAGAGAATTTACAAACCCATGGAGTATAAATGAGGCACCAAACTCTCTTCTTTGAAATAGGATTACATGTATATACTGTAAGGCAGACATTAGGGATAGTATTTTTTCCCTGTTTCCTAAAGCTGCTAAACTTGATGTCATGTGGAAAGGGATATGATGTGCTTTGTGTAAAATTTGACATTCCTTAAATGTTTTTCTTTTTCTGCCTTGCTATGTGTTGCTAACCAGGTCCAGGATGTTCTATTGTTAGACTTTGTTCCTAAAACTAATGTTAAGCATGAAATGAATTTATGAGAAAAACAAAGTTAATATCCTTACCCTAAAATTAAGTTTGTTACTAGATAGACCATCTTAAAACATAAACTGAAATGATATTTTTCATTGATTTTTTTTCTGTATTCATGGTGAATTTATTTGTGCCAATTTAGGTCCCATTTGACTCATCACCGAAAATACATGGTTCTTGTTTAATGTAATGAATAGCTCCTGGATAAATGAATTTTACAGCAGAAGTTTCCATGAATCTTATTTTTTTAACTCCTCTACTTGCAGTTTTTATTTCTGATAATGAGGCGAGGAAATAATTTATCTCATTCTTGTATTACATACTTTACAAATATCTTAGGGTGTCTCTGTGTTAAAGTAGTCCCTATAACACACAAATGATTTCTCTGTTGAATTTCTATTTCTGTTTCTCTTTGCTTTTTCTCTCTTGGGCCACTGACTAGCATTTTCATCAAGAAGAGATCAAAGACATAGGAAGGAAATAAAACTCAAAATAGGACATTTTTATTTTATACTTGTTTTGTTAATTAGGGAGTGAATGGAAATAGATATTGTGGTGAAATTGGGCTGTGAAGTTACTTAACAGGAGTTAAGCCATCTCTTGTCCTTTAGTAGCTTTGTTTCATCCTGGCCACAGTGTCGCCAGTAGAATATAGTAAGGAGATCTAAGGATAATCTCAAAATATAGGAAGAACTTATGGTATATATGAACTAAGATGATAGTTTTTCCACATGGAGAATAACGAAAGATTCTGTGGGTAGTGGGGAGGATTGACTCTTCTCCACTTCATAAGTTAAAGAAATTGAGTCTGCTGAGAGCTTAATGATTACCTGAAATTAGCAAAGGCGTTGGTCTGTGTCTTCTTGCCCTAGTCTTTACTAACTTTCTAATTATTAAAAGAAAGGCAAAATGACCTTCTGGTTTTTAAAGAAGCATTGGAATTAGTTTCAGTTTAATATGTAATATTTAAGTGAGCCTCAGGGAGTTTATCTATTCAATGTCTACATGCAACAGCTTAAAAAAATGAAATTCCCAATTCCTATTATGTAGACAGTTGTGATTTAATAATGTTTAATGTATTAAATTATACATACTTATTTGCTAGCAAAATAATTATTGCAGTACTTCCAGAAGACTGAAATGTTTATCTGCATACAATTGCCTATCTCAAAATTAAATGCTGTATTGTTTTCAAAGCAGGGAAAGCTGAGGGCTCCTTTGTGAAACATGCATAGTATTTTGCTGTGTCAAATCAGAGGTCCATCTAGCCCAATATTCTGTCTCCAAGAAGTACCAAAAATCATTACTGCCAGTTTGCATTTTTCTCAAACCTGAAGTTTAGGATATAGTTCTAAATACCTTAGATTCTCTCAGTAACACGATCTGATTGTAC